TATACTTCTTAATTTATTGAACTGATCTTGTAACTCTTCAATTGTTCTCTGTTTTAGTATTTAGTAAAAGAATCATAATCAGAATATAATTTTAAAAAAGATTTAAATTATATTATATAATTTGATCTGACTTTTTAAATATGATGTAACGAGACTATATAAGTGCTGTCTGCAAATTTTATCAGATAAGATTTGCAGGTTTTAGCTTTGCAACACTCATATTATTTTACTGAATTGTGTATTTTTTTTTACAAATATATCAGATATACTTACATTTGAACAGAAAGATAGATTTTTAAATCAAGAGTCAAGTAAAGATATATATATTCTATAATCATATAGCAGGGACTATTGACTTGACAGATTAGATAAAACTTCTTCTTTTACCTTATTTATAATATTGAAATCACTATTTGTATTATTTAGTCAATAAACTAATTCTTCAATTGTTGGAACCATTATACTTAATGTAGCATAATTTGATCTAGAAAAAATTTTTGTAGCTTTATCAAATAGATATAAAAGTTCAACAAGATCTCTTACAACTTTAAATTCTTTATTTGATAATAGCTTGTCACGAATATTAATACTATCACAACGATAATCATTATTGGTTGAATTTTCAAGATTATTAGTTAGTCACTTAATTAGACATTTGAGCTCAGCAAGTCTTTCAAGAGCCATGTAGATAGAATTCTATCATGTTGCTACATCTGTTATTATATCAACTACATTAGCTTTTAATATACCTATCTTGATTTGAGCTTCTCTTAATTGCTTTCTTTTTTTTTCTCTACTCAAAAGTGAAATCAAAGCTTTGTATTTTGTAAGTAAGCTATATGCAACTTCCAAACCTGCTTCAACACTTAACTGCAATGTATAAATAGTACAAAAAATATTAACAATTGGGTCTGATGCTAAAAGTCTTGCTAATAATTGTGTAATAGCTAATTTAACATTAGAGCCATTATCCGTAGTTATACTTACTATTTTACTTCCATTTAGACCAAATTCTTCAAGCATAGATTCGATAGTATTAATAATATCATCAGCAGTTTTATACGCACTCATTTCAATTATGCCTAGTGTAAAATCATAAATGTGAAATTTATCTGAAATCTAGTGGCAGGTTATACCTAGATAAGAATCATGCGCCTGAGAAGTTCATATATCAAATGTGAGTGATACTGTGTTTGTTTGTATAAGCATACTTTTAATACTTTGAGCCATATAATTAGTTCCATTTACAATTTCATTTTTAATTGTGTTTACACATAGCGGTTTGTATCAAGTATCAAATGAATTTAAAAAGATACAAAAATTTTTGTTTTCTATTAATGATAAGGGAAATGTATACAAAATAAAAAATATGATTAGGTGTAGTGACTTAGTGAAGTGGTGGAGTTGTCATACCCCAGACGGCAGGTCTAGAGTTCGAATCCCACGGACAACATTTTCAAAAAATAGCCCTGTGATACGGTTAATAGCTATTCAACGATCAGTAGGATCTAGAAATCTGTAATCTCAGTCACACCATCTAGAATGGAAGCTTTGGCGTAAAAAATCTGAGATACTAGAAGAACCGAAAACCCATTTGGCAAGTCCCGAGTTGGGAGATAGTGCGATCTTTGACAGTACTACA